AAATTCACCAGCACCAAATAGTGTGTGAATGTACTGAGTGCACGTTAGGACAGAAGGTGCTCTTCTTCCTTCTCTGTTACCTGACCATGTCATCCATTTTCCTCCCCATTTAATGTTCAAATTTCCAAAATATTTGCTGTTCAGGGTTTTAAATTTGATTTTAAATATGCAGATTCCTGGCATTCATTACAACTTCCAAACGACAAATGTAACTGAAGCACTTTATTAACTTCATCAAATTGTTTACAAACTTTTAATTAGTTATCTATGACTTCTTGTTTCTCTATTGTGGAAATGTGATGTAACCCAGAGTCTCTTCTCAGTCATTCAGGTTCAGCAGATATGTGTTTATCTTCATAAGTCAGGAAATGGCTACAAGGGAATAAGTACTCGCCCACATTTAGAGTTAGAGCAATAATTAAAAAGTTTTAAACAACTGGAGCGATGACAAACACTGTGGAGACCCTACTTTATCTTTCCACCGCACATAAGGAGGAGGATGGTAAAGGACAATAAAGTCTTCAAAGCTCACTGCACCAAAGGCAAAAGCTGACATTTGGTGACTTTCTAGTCAAACAAACTAGAATTCAAACTAAACAGGTTTATGGGAGTGTGCTGTTTTCTATATGGTAATATTTATCAGGAAATTTCAAAACCAAAACTTTTAATTTTTAGTGGTTATTTGTGGTTTCTGTAGCACATTTGGCCGACACAGTTTATTCCTAAAGTTATCAGTGATGCCTGTTACTAGAAACAATCTGTTGCTTGGATTATCATCATTTCTATGCATTGAGGAAATAGCTGCTCCATGAAGCAGGAAGTTTTTTGTATGTAGCATCTGTTATGGATATGTGGGCTGGCAAGACTGAAACAGAAAAAGATACTTGGTTTACGGTCTTGGTGACAAATTTAAAACATTTTCTGTTTTCGTAGTGGAAGCCATTCTAAATGTTCACTTTGACTGACAGCTTGTGAATTTGGCGTCATCATTCTCCCCAAGGGCTTGTAGATGTTAGGATCTATGGGTGCTTGACTTTATGTATATAGATATGTATTGTTATGAAGAAACTTTTCATGAACCTGTTTTATAGTCTGATTCCCCTTGTGGACTTTGCTTACTGTGCAGATTAGATCCTAGAATAAACACAAGTTGCCACAGAAATAAGTTAAGGAAGGAATTGGAGACTGAACATGACGTCCGGCTCTGGAAACTCGATCTGCTCTCCGGATTAGTTATCCGTTTCCCTTCCTTTGTGCCTTTCCTTCCTCTTCTTGCATATTTGTTAAGTCCTATTGCTGTTTTATCCACACTGCCTTAATTTATTGTCTTGACGCACCATCCGCTGCTGCTCTCGCCACACTTTCTTTTCTGTTTCCTCTCTTCCTTTTTTTTCGTCTCTATGCCGCTGTCAGTTACTGAACCTCCCTGCGCTGCTCTCTAACCCTGCCACAGGAAGTTTCCTGTGCTGAAAAGAAGCCCACGCTGGATTACTTCCTGCCAAAGAGCGTTGTGGGACACGTTTGTTTGGGCCCCCTTCTTCCTCCTCCTCCTCCTCACTCCTTCTGCTCCCCTTGCTGCTTCCTCCTCCGGGCCCCGTGCAGATGGCCGAGGCCGGCAGACCGGATCTCACAGGGCTTTTGGAACAGGCGGAACGGCTCTCCGGCCCTGGAAAGAGCATACCGCAGGCGTGACCTCTTGACCTGAACTTCACTTCTGCCCTCCCTGGCTTCACCGCTCTCACAAATCGGCCACGGGAGAAGAAAGTACAGCTGGTGCACGTCGTGCAGATGGCAACTAAGTTGGGGATGCATTCATTACCACAGTTGCCGTGGTTCTATTTTTACAGTACGGAAATCTACCAACGCATTTCTGATGGCAAATTTGACTTGTGCTGAGCTGATTTTTGTCAATAAAGCAGAAACCCAACAAGAAAATAGGATCCAACTTTTTTTCTTTTGTTCGCAACCCTTGTTGTGAAGCACCTTAATCCTATTTGCAGACACCTCCCTCAGACGGCAGGCTGAGGGTCCGAGCTGTGCTTCAGATAACCTCGACCCTCCCTGGCTTATCGCCAACTGAATATAGAGGACTGGAAGGAAAGGGAAGAAACAGAAGTCTGACAATCTGGACAGAGTGTCATTTTAGATCGATTGCTCTCTGAAAACTTCCTTTGTTTGACATGTCGGGGTGAGCGGAAAGCGAGGGGGAGGGAGTGGAAGCAGACACACGGTTCTTATTACTCGTGTGACAAGTGACATTGGCGGCCAAAGATAACAGCTGCCCGACTCCCAGAGGAAGTGTTCGAGTCTGTCCGATAAGTCAGGCGTAAGAACTGAGCGGCGTGTGCTCGGTGTGGGCGTCGTGGATGGTCTGATCAGAGCGACACACGCTTAGCGGTTTGATTTCACCTGTGCGAAACAGAGAAGAGGATACAGGAAAGAAAGGGGAGGTGAGCCTGAGTCATACTGTAGATCATCAGGTTCCAGCAAGAGACGAGCGATATGATGAGGTGGCAGTATCGCATGCTGACTGGTATAAATGCAGGCCAAAATCGGTTGCTGAATGGTTTTGGTGGTCGATTTGAAGTTTTAACCAAATATTTTTTTGGTAATGATATTTGAGACAAAAACAAACTAAAAAAGATCATAAAGTTGAAATTATTATTCATTATAATTTAAGTATATTACTTCCTTGCAAAGAGTGTAGCATGAAAAAATTCAGCAACATTTTCTAGGAAGAACTTCAGAAGCATTAAGTAAATAATAACTATTAATTTTCAAACATAGTTATTTCGTCCTTCAGCTGTCTTAAGAGACAAAGTTACTTAGACGCTATGGTCTGGTGGTGTTGCACTGACCCTGCATCTGTTTTATAATTTTTTTATGTGCGTGGTTTCAGAAAGTGACAGTCCGACAGGACAACCCTCCGCTTCCTCCTTGTTCTTTCTGTGATTCTCCTGAGCATCACACCAAGACCGCGGAAGAGATCAACGTCTTGTATGCCTTCCTAATCAGTTCTGCTTGATTCTTCCATCAGTGCTCCGTCGGGGCTTTCTCTGGTGGAATGTCAACCTGGTCAATCAAAAGGAGTTGTGAACGATGTCAATGTTCTGCACTATTTCAGTATTGTACTGTCGTTTTCTCAGTAGCAGCGGAGGAAGTGAACGTAGATGTTCAGTCTGTGTTGGTCACGCTCCCAAACATTAGCAGGCATTTCGTTCAGCTTGGCACTTCTCTCTTTGCAGTGGAGTTTGGTTGTTTACAGCTCAGCATTAAGCATGAGCATAGGATTGTCATATTTCATACATCATGACCAAAAAGTGGTGACTGGGTGAAATCTTAAACCTCAACACAGTCCACGCCTCCAGGAGGGAGTCGTTTATCAATAGCCGAGGGTCCAGAGCTTGTCCATCAGCGTCATTCAGCTTCTGCTTCTGTTTTGTGGCATGAGCCAAACTCCACCCACATTGACGACATTTCTAACTCCATCTGCACATAGTCAACTGTAATGAAATGTTGTCTCCTGACTATCAATATTATTGGCAATAAGTTGACCCATTGCTTGGTTTTATTTTGGTTTCATGAATGGTCCAAGTTTTGTTGGCATCAACTTGCCTTTGGAAATACAATTAAATGAGAGATTTCAGCTTTTTCTTTCTTTTTTTAATATAATTCTCTAGATAGTTAAATTTTTTGATAAATTACATCTACAAATGTTCATAAAAATGCTTGTAAAAGTTTTTGTTGTTGTTGTTTTTAAATGAATTAGTGGAGAAGTCAAACTGGGATTGTCTGGAGTCCTTCTACATCCAACAGAGAACACATTGAAAAGGGGAGAGATAGTCTTGCTAGATGCTACTATTTTACATGGACAGAAGAGCGACCTGGAAAACATTTCCAGCAGTCTGGATATGTGCGCTACATTCTAGAATTTCACTTAATATATGTCAATTATGTACTTAACCCTAGAATTTTCTAATTCATGTGCGTACTGCGACACAGTTCACGCTCCGTGTTTCAAATTGTCCGAGGTAAAACAGCGCTACGGTTTAAGAAAATGTAGAAAGGATGTGGCTGTTTAGCAGAAAAGAGACGGTTATTTCACTTTTTTGTTATTTTAAGCTGTTTTAAATACTCATCCTGCTTTTCTGTTTGTTCTCAGCGTTTAGACATTTAACCGGCAAAATTGAAAAACCAGGACAAGAAAATAGGTTTTCAGAATATTTGAGCAATTTGTTTAATAACTTAAAACTAGAGTTTCCTCCATGAACCACGTTTTTCAGCAGGGTCATATAGTTTTCTGATAACAGGATATTTTCTGTACTTTTCCAGGTGACTGTAAATATTTCTTGGTCGTTATAATGGATTTCTTTACTCTCTTGTTCTCTTGTGTGAAGAGGGGAAATAACAAAGCGACTGTTGGACTTGTTTCCTCTGCTCATTTTTCCTATCATGCGTGTCTCATTCTGAAAACAAACCAATAAATCTTCCATCCTCTAACATGCATCTTCAGGGTTAACAGAACAAAATTTCAAAGTGTATTATATATACACTTTGTTTTTATACTTATCTAAAAACATGTAGACTTTTTTTTTCCTTTAACATCTTCTGTCTGATTCTTTGTGCAGTTTTATGTGTAACCTATCATTTTTAAATCTTTTATTCTAACCTCTTCTCCCTCTCTGACTCTGTCTCCCTCTTCATCTTTTTTTTCTTTATCTCTGCTGCCATTCCCGTAATCACTCCCTCCTTTCAGCTTTTATCTCCACTTCCTCAATATCCTTTTTACTGCCTCCTTCCCCCCTGCTCTCCCCCTTCCCCACGCTCTCCTTCCTGTCTTTCCTTCTTTCTTCCTTCCTCCGCCTCCAGCACCGCCGCCGCCTCCCCATCCGTCTGCTTCTTCAACACTCGACTCGTTTTTCTTCTTTTTTTTCCCTTTCTTCCCCATGTTGTTGCCATCTCCCCCAAACCCTGACTTCTTCTCCGTTCTCCACCTCCAGGCCTGCAGCCAGTGTTTTGGAGCCGGGAAGACGTGGCTCAGTGGCTGCGGTGGGCCGAGAAGGAGTTTGCGCTACGGCCCATCACCAGTGGCACCTTCCAGATGAACGGCAAGGCCCTGCTTCTCCTCACCAAGGAGGACTTCCGCTACAGATCCCCTCACTCCGGTACTCCTCTTTATGCACTTCTGGAAACAGGAGCACACTCCCAGCTTTGAGTCTATCAGTGAAATATTCTAAAAATGAGTCATTTCAGTCCACAATCGGAACAAAAAAAAAAGAGAGTTAGCAGCTAGAAAGGAAATGCAAATCACAGATCATTGAATTACGAGGTGGAAAATAGTTGCAAGTTTTGTAAAACCCGCAAAAACATTAGTTTAATCCCACTTTGCAACAACTATTAGGTCAATCTTGTCCAGAAATCTTGTGCAATTTTTCAATTGCTCTTATTAAACCTCCAAAATGGAAAATAAATCAGTAACTGCAACAGGAGCAGATGATGTGGCGGTGCGAGGTGACAGCCGAGGGATGCAGCTGTTACAGCGCGACTGCTGGGGCAGAGGAAGTAGGAGACGGTTCATCAGGAAGTAGAAAGCAACCTCAACTGTCGCCCGAGCAACACCAGTGGAGAGGCGCCTAAAAATAAAATGAAATATTGAGCTGATTTTCTCAAATCTGTTTCTGCTAGTCTACCTGGAGGATTTGAAAGAAAAAAGTCTCGACTGTGGAATAGAGAACATTGGGAGTTTCAGGCTCCATACAGGTGCTGTGTGATGTGGTTTAGGGTGACAGTCATACGAGAATAAATAAGGCTTTGATTAATCTAGAAATAAGCTAAGGGAACAATCCAACTCCAAGGCTGGACAAGATGCTACTTTTTTTATTCATATTCTCTGCATATTACATTTAACAAGTAAAATTTAAAAAATCCTTCGATCTTCATCTTGCTTCAGTTTTAAATAATTTTGACATTTGTCATTAAATTTAATTAAGCTGGTTCTGCTGGTACCATGACGACTGTAAAACCATTTTCAAAGTCTGTTATTTTATTATACTGGCACCTTCAAAGTGACACCCAATGCCCAGTGAAACACTGTTTCAAAAAGAAACATTCTGAGGTGGATTTTTACAAAGCTATTTAGACTTTTTAAAAACAAATGTTGATTATTGCTGTTTTAGTACATTTAATATTATGGTGAAACCAACATTAGCAAAACTCTTGACAGACACAAAAAACTTCTACATTTTTGCTGTTTGGCTCTCGTGGTCACGCATGGAAAGCAATTCCTAAACATTCTCAAAAACTCTCACTTTTGATAACTTTTATTCCCTCAGTCCTTAACTGCATACTGACCAAATGGAGTTTGTTAACCTTTGAGGTGTGTCTGCTCTGGTAGCCAGCCTGTTAAATAAATATACTTGTAGCTTTCTAACTGATTTTAAAACAACTTTTCCTTACTGACAGTGAAGGGTGGAGCCCTTTCAGTTTCCACGTTGGAAATGTCTTGTTTTAGTGATTTCTGAACACATTTCTCGTAAATTAAGAAAAACGTTGGTGCCTTAGCACAGTCAGCTAACTGGCAGTGTGTTGACGTTATTCTACACTTTGGAAACCCATAGTGACTTGAAAATAGGGACTTTGAAAACTTTTGACTTTTCCAGACATACTTTGAGAACCACTGCAAGTGATTCTGGGAAGGTATCTGGGATTTTTGACTCGAGCTGTTGGCTGGAGTCATCGTCAATAGCTAATAATAATCTTTAATGATGTGTTTTTGAACATTGCTAGATAAGCTGGTTTTATTTTCATGTTCAGCAGATCTTTAAAACTAAATAGGAGCAGACTTATTTCCTGGCCTGGAGGCCAGTGAAGTGACCAACCTGACATCTCACCTCACTTCCGTTTCAGCTGTGAGCAAACAAATCTCCCATCCTGTCAAATAATCGATGAGGAGAAAAGTGGGAGGAAATGATTCATGATCTTTTGGGGTCATATTAGGTATTTTGTTCACAAAGCCTGCCTCATAAGGTCAGATAACTAAAAAGGAAGGGGATTTTTTTTTCTTTTCTTTTTTTTTTACATCAGAATTAGTTGTATACAGCCAGTGGTTAGTGGTATCAGCCTAAATCTCACTTTAGGGAAGAGAGCAATTATCTGGCTTGTGATGCGTCTATTTCCTCCTTTGTATGTTGATAGGCGCAGAGTTCCCATCAGTCTCTGGGGTTTCATGCTTCCCTTTGCAGAAGCTCCAAGAAGGCTGCCTCCTTATCATGGAACGGGTCTCTGAAAGATGGCATAACTTAAACCATGGCAAATTTTATAATATCTCAACAGATATTATAAAATTTTAAATATCCTGTTTTAGGTCTTCCAAAGGAACCTATTTTGAGCACACATTTGTTTTTCACAAGCAGACTATTTTAAATAAAGGAATCAGAGAAAAGAGCAGGAAGCAGGAATTTTCCCCACACTGACAGAAAGTGAGAACTGAAAGGGTGTGTGTGTGTGTGTGTGTGTGTGTGTGTGTGTGTGTGTGTGTGTGCGTGCGTGCGTGCGTGTGCGTTTGTTTGTGTGTGTTCACCCTCGCTTCCTTTATGAGAATCATTTCCTTGTTATGTTAGGCGGTTCAGAGCGTGAGCCGGTGACCGTGTGCTGGTGAGATCACACCATCCGGACTGGTGGCTGCTTGTGTAAATGTTGAGGCTGGAAATCATTGAGTGACCTTCCTGCTCAGGCTTTGTTCCTGCCCTCGGACGCTGCTCCTCTACGACCAGGAGAGTGTCAGGATCATATCACACAATGGTCTTTTAATATGTTCACAGATTGTTAATGACTTTCCCTCCACAGCCCAGTTGATGCTTTCTCTATTTAATCAGTCATTTCCAAACTCTCTTGTCCATTTTCTGTTTTTGCTCTTTCTGTCGTACTTCAATATTTGAAATAATCTGATATTGACATCAAAATTCTAATCAATAAAAATGTCATTTTTTAAATTGATGATATATTTTAATACATGCACATATCTGTCCAAACCAACATTGGCTTTTAGGAAGAAGTAATATTCCCTACTGGAGGTTGGCTGCATCTGGTCCGCTATTAGTTGAGCTTTTAGAAAAGAGACATATGGAGAGGAAAAGTCGATGGTGCCAGTGTGATGGTGTGGTCTGCTCTGCGGCTTTAAGGCTACCACACACTCATGTGTATGATGACTCCACGTACAGATTGCCTACATTTCTTGTAACAAAATTCTTAATTTCCCAAGCTCAGCAAATTTAACAAACTAGTTTGGCGCCTAGCACACCTGTTGGTGTGGAAAAGAAATTGGCAGACAAGTTGTTGCGTGTTCTTGAGACTGGTTGGGCTGACTCTCAAGAGTCTGATGCGTTTCCTGCTGAGCGATACCGAGTACGCGGTCACAAAGACCCCCAGAAACCTGGACGTTTTTTTTACTCTACAGAGGTTCAACTCAAAGCGGACGTCCACCAGACATGTCCAAGCAAACGTCCAATTTATGACTGAGTTGGAGTGGAGAAGCAGGGCTAGACACCCAACAAGCTCATCAAATCTGCTTGTGTCCATTAGGTTCGAGGGACATTACAAAATTTGTCATGAGAAATGATGGGACCATAAATTCCCCTGCATAAAAGTTTTGTAGAACTCCAGTAAACTTGTTTTATGCAACAAAAAGATGATCTCAAGCACACCAGCAAGTCCACCGCCTGACGCATTTAAAAACAAATGAAGGTTTTTGAGTCTGGAATTAAATTCCACTCTGAACAGTCCCTTCATGATCAAAAAGCCTCCACTGTGGCTCAATTAAAACAATCCTGCAAACAAGAGCTGTCCAGATTTCCTCCATGGTGACGGGAAAGGCAGTTGTTGCAAACGTTTGAGGGCAGCTGGGAATATAAAGACACAGAGGAACAGCATTCCAAATATTTCCTGGCCTTCCTGTTCTGCAACATCAATCATCATTTGTGTTAGAAGAGGTGAGAGCTCAAAAAGATAAAAACATCTACTCCATTGTCTTGCACGCCATTGCAGCATCAGGGAACTGCAGACATGTGTCGACTTGTCCATTCTTTTCCAATAGCTTTTAGCATCGATGTGCTTTACAATCTCTGATGGGAAGAATGGCTAACTTTGTCTGTCTTTTATTCAGTAACACCGTCCACACCAACAACTGCTTTTCTAGGTGTGTAGAGGCACTTACAATTGGAATTGATCTGATTTTTGAATTTCAGACTGGCTAATCACACTGGAAATTGAAGCGTACAAGCTAATTTCTCAGAGTATTTTCTGTTCTATTCATACAGCTCTAACTTTAGATTTGCATTTAAATGAGAAAAAGGTCTTCTTAGGTATCAGAATTGTTTGAAATCAGTAATGGCGAGGCAGATGGATGTTCATCATCACCACTGTACTAAACTTATTGATACAACTTTACAGATAATAGCATCCCTAAACCCCCTGTAGTCTTGCTGTACTGTGCCGATTAACAGTCATTTGGAAACGGACCACTGTTAGATTTTATTAAGTAGAATTGTGGTGTCAGGCAGCCAAAGCAACAAAGAGACTCTTTAGATGAGTTTGTGGCACCAATTTGATTTGCCACTCAAGAGGTAGATACAGATGCGCAATTTTTTTTCAATCTTGATGTGACATTTTCACTGATGTACAGACAAATTGAAGTATTCTAAAAATGGAAGGTACTGCACAAAGTAGTCATATTTTATCAACCATGTTTTTCTGATGATCCTAAAGAAACAGATGAACAAACATAATTTGGTTCTAATCTAACATTTGCTTGTGATTCATTAAATTGATGCTAGAATATTGTGTATCCAAGAATAATGCAAGAATGTAGAAATCTCTAAAGAGCAGTCTCTGAGGAATACTGAGGCATTGATATTGCAAACAATGGTTTCAATACAAACTGAATGCTATGAGCTGGTTGTAGCTCGTCCCAGTCTATGACGTGTTCACAGTCTGGCGTAGACTATCTAAGAAGTGTCTCTACAAACAGAAGTATTGTTTGTTTGGTGAGTCTTGTCCTGAATTGCTCAAGCCAGAGGAAGTTTGAGCAATAACGGCAGCATCGATTGGGCTGGATCCTGGAAAGAACAGAGGAGAAGAAGGGGAACCGGATACTGTGCCTGACGACACGGCTAATGTCCCGTGTCATGCAGGCGTCAGATGTCACCAGGAGACGTATGGTGACCTATGACCTTTTGCTTTCTGCAGGGGATGTCCTGTATGAGCTGCTGCAGCACATACTGAAGCAACGGAAGTCCAGTGTGTTTTGCCCGTCTGCTTACTTTCCTGGGAACTCTTTCCATTCGCTGCCTGAAAGCGCTGTGCATCATCTGAAACTCGAAGGTCAGTCCTCCCTACACTCACTTCCTGCTTCAGGGATACACTTCATGTTTCTTTAGCCTTTGTTTGGAGACTAATAATGACTGCCAATTAGAATTAGAGATGCATCAATCCAGTATAAATATCTGTATCGATCCCGATATTGAAAAAAAAAAAAGATCTAGCTCAGATATTGGTAACAAAGTACCAGATCAATGAGGGCAGATCTGTGCTTTGTGCTCTTTGTGACATCATGCTTTATTATTTATTTATAAATAAATTTGTTACAAAAGTACAAAACATGCTTTTGTAAAACGGCTTAAAATGCTGCTATTTTGTCTTTAATGCTCTATGTTGGGTAGGCTGCTTTAGTTACTCAGTTTTTACTTATAGTTTTGTTGAGGGTTGTGTTTATCGCAATTCAACTTGAGAGCAAAGTTGCAGTGAATGCTTGATACGGCTTCTTTTTCCTGCCAATAATCAGAAGCCCCCAGCTAGGCTAATCTGATGCTAGCAGCCAACATCAAATGTAAGCTTAATTAGCCACTAACTGGATTTTAGCTCGTCAAGTTGCTTTGAACCTTTTACACCTACCTTTACGTATGAACAGACAGGCATTAAATACTGATGTGAAAAATAGAACTGCCGTCATTTTTGAAGCATGTTGTGATGTTTGTTGCTTTTTAGCAATAAATCCTTATTTTTAATTGTATGGCATATGCACCAGCTTCGCAGATTTCTAACTAAATGATGCTTCTTCAAGATAAAACATCTCTGAAAGTCAGACGATCATCACCTGATCCTGTGTTTGCTGCCATACACTCGTAATCACTTTGGTCACAAACGTACCCAAAGTGACTTAAGAGTTCTGGTCAATATGTAAACAATGCAAAGTCCTCCAAAATACGTAAGCAAAAGCATTAGCTTAATAAAAGTGTAAGGCAGCGATGTGAGTCTGCCTTGTTGGTTCCATTCGAGGAAGTGCCGACCAAGTTTGGTGAAATACCTGAAACTGCTTCCTGGTTCGGGTGGAAGAAAATGTGACTCGGCAGCAATCAGATAGGCCTGAGCCGTAACTCTGATGTTGACAGTAAAACCTGCTCCACCAGGAAGTGCTGCTGTAGTTAAACAATAAAGACTTCATGCAAAGTGACTCATTCACTGTGGTGAGTTTCTGCTTTGTTGTCTTAGCTATTTTCCTATGTCACTGATCACTCACATACAGGTACCTGCAACCTTCCTAATGTTTCCGAGAAACCAAGAGCGTCAACGTTGTTTCCACACTGAGTTAGTTTACTCTGCATGGTTATTTAAGCAGAGTTCAGTACTTTTTACATTTAGGGGTTTCAGAATCTGTCAGTTTCTCAAAAACATTTGCAGATTTCAGTCTTTGCTGCATGTAGAGCACTACAGTGAGTTCCTGTAGCGCTCTACAGGAACTCACTTGCTTGATTCTTCCATCTTTTCCTTCCCTCATCCAGTGCTTCCTTTGTTAATTCCTGCCATCCTTCCTCAGCATGCTCTTGTCTTCAGATCTTCTTCCCGACACATTCGACTCAGTCTCAGAGTGACACCAGTGACATCTAGTGGAATATTTGTGCATGTGCAACATCTTCAGTAATGAAACCGTATCGCTTCCCAGAAGTCCCAGAAAATATCCACAACCTGCAGAATAAGAATCAGTATTTGTTTCTCCTCCTTTTCCTTTTCAGGTGTTTTATTTTCTGAGAATATTCATCTTGTAGAGATCAAACATTTGCTTGAAGTTGAACATTTGAGTGTAAAAGTTGTGGTTTGTTGTCGGAACGTTACACTGATGCTGCTGGTTCGAAGCCTTACATAAATATAAATAACTAAAATCCAATATGTCTGCCTCCTCAGAGACGGTACGGCGGGCGCCACGCGGTACAGAACCCCTCCCCCAGAACCCGCCCACCATCGAGCTGAGGCACCGTCGCTCCCACTCCCGCTCCCCCCTCAACCCGGCCCCAAGGCGGTCGCCCCCGGAGCCCAACCGGCCCCGCTCGGCCAGCGAGGACCCCCTGCAGAGCTTCTCCCAGCTGCCCGACAGCAACCACCACCTGGCCGAGGAGATGTACCCGTTGTCCGTGTCCCCGCCGGCCCCCAACGGGCCCTGCGCCGCGTCCAGGGAGGCCCCCAGCCCGGGGCTCCAGGAGGCGGGGCAGCCCCGCGTCATCCAGCTCATGCCCAGCACCATCCTGAACCCTCTGCTGCTCAGCCCCGGCAGAGGCGTGGGGGCCGGCCTGGACTTCAGGCACAGCCGCGCCGGGCCCCCCTCCCAGGTGGTGATGGAGAATGGGCGTGAGAGCAAGGTGCATGTGCACCACCACCACCATCAGCAGCAGCAGTTGGCCCAGCAACAGCTGTTGCAGCAACAGGAGGAAGCGCTCTACAGGAACCACGTCATCATGCCCGTGTCTCCTCCAGAGGAGCAGCAGATGCCCATCGGCCGGATAGCAGGTCTTTACATCACTTCCTGTCTTTCATCACAAAACACCAGCTGCCTTTCCACTGACCACAACACAGCTTACTGGAATATTGCTAATGAATTCTTTTAAATGTCAAATCTGCCCTACATGTCAGTGTAGGGCTGGGCAATAAATCAATAACAATATATATCATAATAGACACATGATCAAACTCAATAGTTAATATAGCCAATAGAGTATTTAATAATTTAACTGAACTGCAATCCAGAACGGTTCAGCGTTGTGGAACATGTAAGCAGAGGAAAGGCGTTAGCCGCTCAGCCTGTCATGATGAGCTAAGCTAGGATGGTGACATCATAACCGGCTGAAACAGAAAACTTTATGCCACCACAGTGGCAGTATTTCAATTATTTACAACAAAAACCCAATCAATAAATATCTATACACCGTTATGAAATCTTTATATCTGATTGTTACCCAGCTCTAATGTCACAGCGTCACAGTTCATAAAAAATTTGTAATTTCAACATGTTGAATCGATCACGCTTCTGTAAAACGGCAATTTTCCCTAAACACAGCAGACGTAGCCACTGGGTGTCGCTCCAACGCCTCAATGACGGTTCAGTGTCGAGAGCTAGCGCCATGGCTAAAATATAAATGTTTCCATTCATCGCTGCCATGATTATTAATGATTTATCACATGAGCATATATATTCACATGGGATTTAACTGTCATTTTTTATTTAACAGAAACATCACAGTGGCGACATCATGTTTTTCCACGTTAGGTGGAATATCGCTAAAGTTTTGCACACACTGGTGATAGAAACGTAGCTAGTGTTGGCCGTGCTTCTGTGGAAACAGCGTGAGTTGAGCCAGAGCGCCCCCTGTGTGTCGTCCCCAGATTGCAGGCTGCTGTGGGACTACGTGTACCAGCTCCTGTCAGACAGCAGGTACGAGAACTACATCCGCTGGGAGGACCCCGACAGCAAAGTCTTTCGCATCATGGACCCCAATGGCCTGGCCAGGCTCTGGGGGAACCACAAGGTAAACGCATCACTTCCTGTTCCTTCATGGACGCCGACCCCAAACAAACAGCACACCGTTATGGCGAGTGCCTTCGTGAAATGGCTTTTTCTGCTGTGAAGTCTCACAAAGAAAAATGGAGACAAATCTGCCTTTTAGTTGAAGTAGATTTGTTCAGATTTCTCGCTACGATATGTAAACATGGGGTTTTTGTTCCCTCTTGATGAGACGTTTCAGAAGTTGCAGTGAGATGAAAGGAGGAGAGTTTACTGTAAGCGAGATCCTCTGGAATGTACGTCTCTCATTGTTCAGGGACCAGTAGAGAGAAATGCTGGAGCTTCCAGATGTTTTTCTGTTTTACTAAATAAATATTGCTTTCTCCTGGACACAAATATAACTTTTAGTGGCTTTTTCTTTGTTTGTTTTGTTTTAGTGTCCTCCTGTCTGTTGTTTCCTTGACATAACTTTCCTTTCTTTGTGCTTTGCTTTCCTTTCCCGCTCTGTTTTCCCTTCCTTTTGTCCTTATGTCCTCACTTTGTGTGAATTCATTTTGTCCTCATTTCCTTCCTTCATTCCTTTTAGACATTCCTTCCCTCCTTTCTCTGATTTTTGAAGCTTTATGTTTACAGCATTTTGTCTCTTGAAAGTACCTGCCTGGAATCTAATGTTTTTTGTTTTTGTTTTTTTGTAAAAAAGATGTTTGACCTCTGACCCTGTTGTGGTCGATTCCCAACAGAACAGAACCAACATGACGTACGAGAAGATGTCGCGAGCACTGAGACACTACTACAAGCTGAACATCATCAGGAAAGAGCCGGGACAAAGACTCCTGTTCAGGTAACTCTCCCCCTAAACCCCCACAACACCCCACACCCCCTTCTCCTCAGAGCGCTAGATGACCCCCCCCTCCCCTCTACCCCTCAGGTTCATGAAGACCCCTGATGAGATCATGAACGGCCAGACGGAGCGGCTGGAGCACCTGGACTCAGACACAGACGAACAAATCTACATCAAAGAGGAATGCTGAGTGGCTCCGGGATGGGGGTCAGGGGGTTGGAGGTTAGGGGTCAGAGGGGGGGAGGGGGAATTCCATGGACTACTTTACTACAGCCTCAGCCACCGATGCCTTTCAGAAGCAGCTTCACAAACGCCAGGAGTTTGGCTCCCATCGGTCCCAGAGGGGGAGGAAGTGAGATGTGAAACGCCTCAGGATGAGCTCGTGACTTCCTGTTGGAAGGAGCGCTGGGATTGGTCGGAGGGACACTGCTGAGGGGACTCTTTATGTTTCTGTCCTGCAAAAAGCCAATCACTTGTGCTTCTATGATTCTTTGTTTTGGTTTGTCTCTCCACATGCATTAGATCTTGGAAATTTGCTACTTGTAAAAAGAAACGTGTGTGCGCGTGTGTGTGTGTGCGTGTGTGTGTGTGAGACAGGACTGTTTTCATTATGGAATAAACATTTTTGATCAAACTGACCGCGGAAACTGGAGACGTCATTGCAGGTGCCTTAAAGATCCTCATGGTGGCACTAGAGGTCAGCCTTTGCTATGCGGGCTTCAGGCGCAGGAACAGGTCTGTTTATGGCGCGTGCCTTTTGAATTAAAGTCTCATTTACGGTTCAGACACAAAGCCACGCCCACTTTTAAGGGAAACCGGAAGCTGCGCTTTTAAAGAGTCAACCCAAATTTGGGCCTTTTGAGTTCAATAAGAGGCTAAAATAACATAAATATACAATTAATAATGTTACTTTCTTCTATATTGTTTTATTTACAGCAAATATACAATTATTTTTTATATTTTAATTATAATAATTCATTTAAACAGCTTTTTTGAAGTTTGAGAAAGTTGAATATCAGACGAGGTAAACAATTAACTATGTTCATTTTCTGATACCAAGGGTTAGTTATATGACAACTTCACTCAGTTTCTAGCTCAAACTGGATTCCAAATCTATTTTATATATGTTTGAAACGATATGAGTCCGGTTTAACGCCTCCATCCAGCAGCAGATGTAACAAACACCTGGAATAATGACGTAGATTAAGATGGTCCTGCACGGCTCCGTCATCTTACTGGGGTTGATTGTGGAAAATGACCATTTCTGGTTCATAATTCCAAAGTTTTTCTATGTGAAACTTTAATGACGTCAATATATTGCCTGACTGAGGAATGTCCAAAAGAGCCTGAGCTATTTGTGGCTCTCAGACTGATGTGTGCGTGCGTGTGTGTGTGTGTGTGTGTGTGTGTGTGGTGTGTGTGTGTGTGTGGTGTGTGTGTGTGTGTGTGTGTGTGTGTGTGTGTGTTGTGTGTGTGTGTGTGGGTGTGTGTCCTACAATTTTGGCCTTTATGTTAGTCACAAAGTCATAACTTTGTGACTTTATTCTCGTAATTGTATTTTTTATCATCATTTTTTTTTCTAAGTATGTCTCTAATACTCCATCTAATCCCAATAAAGTATTTTGGTGCTGAGGATGTTTTTCAGCCCCAAAAGTGTCGTAAACTGAGTGTTACGACAGTTGTTAGTTTGGCTGCTAGGTGGCGCTGAGCGCATGAAGCTGATTAATGATCATTTATCATTTTTTCCCCAGTTAACAAACCTAAAGCGTCAGTGTCTCAGTGATGCCAGGCTTCACTCGCCTCGCTGTCGTCATGATGTTCGTTTCAGTCGGCGCTGATTCTCTCCTGGGCTCGCGCCGCAGAGCGTCTCAGTAATCTGATTACTCTGCGCTCCGGGGTCTCCATAAAAGTTGGAGCGCGCAGAGCCGCGCCGTCAGACCGCGAAGAGCCGCTGCAGCGCGCCCAGCTCCGCCGGGACTGAGCCCGAACACCCGGATACGTCACGACCTCTGATCGAGTCCGATCATCTCTATGAATATTGATTATTTTCAGAAAGCTGCTGGGTGTTGAACGCGCGCCGTCAGGACGCACAGAGGCTCCGTGGACGAACCGGGGCTGGAGACTCGAGCAGTTATGGATCAGATGCTGTTCTGTTAGAAAGCTCCGCTTGATTTCACCTGGAGGTGATTCAAAACAATATTAATAATAATAACTAAAAGACAAGTCAGCCGGTCCTCCTTCCCCTTCTGGATTCAAATGTCTCCACGCCGCAGACACGCAGCTGGATTGTAGCGGCCGCAGCGATGCTTTAATCGGGCGTTGAGGTGCGGGAAGGGAGCGGGACACGAACAGGTAAGAACCCGGATCCCGGATCGTCCGTTTCTGTGAACGTGTTGAGGTATTTCTCGGTTTCCTTGGAGACCTGAGGGACGGTTCGCTTTGCGCGCGGCGAGAACGCACAACCCGGAGGCACGAGCGCCGACAACCCCCCCCCCCCCCCAAAAAAAAAAAACCCGGCGACAATTCAGAGACGCAGTTCATCCTGATGGGAGATGGACTGATCCGTCTCTGACTTCCCTGACTGCAGTTCCCTCAAGTTTGGCTGTAATCCACCGGAAGCAGCTGTTGGTCCAGCAGAGATCAGGCTGGTCCTCAGCCTTGTCCACTCTGGTCCTCAGAGTGGACGGAGGGTCACCAACTCCTCACACTCCGGTCAGGATGGAGCGGCACGGCGCGGCACGGCGCGGCGCGGCGCGGCACTCCAGATGCAGGCAGAGGCCAAAACTAGAAAGTTTGGAACCTCAAGGCAAATTTATGACGTTCCTGTCAGACGTCAAGATCCACCTTAAGACATTTGTAAACAGTAAATTCAGACTGAGCGAAATTAAAGTCAGTTTAGTGGAAAGAAAAAGTTTGGCATGGATGCAGGGAGTGACAGCAGCTTCATTCAGGTAGAAGATTCTTCAACATAGAAACATTTTGTTTCTTCCATTGGACCACAATTATTAATGTATATATATAAAAAATCAGTTTTATTGCAATATTTCAATGACTCTTTGCCAAACATTTCAATAATTGGAATTAAAATGAGTTTTTCAGTGATACACACTGACAACTTTTGCTGCCAGCATAATATTAATTAAACGCTAATTAAGTCTTTTTTCTCTATCTATTGTTTCACCATGTTATGGATAAATAAAAAGTGGTTTCTCTTCCATTATGTCATGGTAACAGGTTGTCATCATTCCCCTGCTGGCTGAGTCAGGGTTAATAAATCATTGATTTTAAAAAAGAACTTCCAGTTGGTGGAAGCGCCTTCTCCTCTACCTTGAATTCCTATTCCGGTTGTAACATCAGCAGAATAAACTTATATCACTAGACAAATAAGGAAATGTTTTTTAGACAATGAGTGTTAGGAAAATTCCACCACAAAATGAAAATAAAGCGAGGAATGTGGAGCGTCTTGTCAAGTTGTATCAGTTCTACAAATGAGGAAATAGTTCCTCTGAGCACATCTGTGTTAAAGTTAATATTGAGTAGCAGGATTTTGTTCAAATTTTGTTCCAGCTGATCTTGAAACAATCGAAGCTTTTCCTCATCAAAACAACTTTTTTTTTCCTCAGAGTTTTATGGTTTTGCACCTTTATTCTGGCAACATTATCACTTTATTCTCATAAAAAACCCAAAAAAAATTCAAAAAAACAAACTTAGTCCAGCCCTAAATCTTTTGTGGTAGTTCCTCAGGGTAGGTGGGTCTATAAATATTTGTAGGGGTGTCTACAGACTGCCCTGCGGGGGGCGCCACTGGAGTCTCACTGGGTTTACAGGAGAGATATCAGCTTCCAGCCTCCTACACCCACTGCAGGAAACCGGCTGCACGATTTCCTGCTGGCTGGTCTCGTTTCAGGTGTTTTCTCATAGACGGGCTTAAGAAGAGCTCAGAACCTCAGAACTGAAAAGGTCTAGTAAAAGTTCATTCTGGTTCTGTAACGCGAGGTGAACACTTGATGGTGTCTATGAAAGACAAGAAACGACAGGAATATAAAGGAAAAAGAAAAACCTTTGTGGTTTGCAACATACTTTTGTTGGTATGCAGAGATGTGCATATGTTCATCCAGATGAACATATGCACGTAATCTCTTTTTGGAAAGAGATTAAGAAAATGTAAAAACATGACTATCAATACCTTGTTCTATAATAATATGCACACATGCACAACAACTTCAGGGCCTCTATGCTTGAGAATTTCCTCAGCTAACAGTTATTTTTTTCATTCATTGAATGTTTGGACCGTTAATCATAGTCAATACACAGAGTGAGTAAATAGATTTTTGCATTTTCCCCTCCTTGGTTCCAGAGGCTGACAGACAATATGAAGCAGCACAGACTGGATTAGGTTTAAATTGTTCAATTAAACGCTGCAAAAACCATCCACAAAAAGGTACACAGACCACATTAATCACAGACCGCCACGCGCTTAATACTTGAGAGCACAACTGGAAGCCGTTTGACAAAAATCTCAGGTCAAAGTCGTCGTAAAAAGCATCTGAGGTCAGGAAAAAAAAGATGGAGGGAAATGAATCCGTCAAACATCTGAACAACGTGGTGATTTAAGAAGTGATGTGTGAAATACTTGTTTACAAAACCAATTAAAGCGCCAATTACTGTTCACAGCTTGTTTCGTGCACTAACTCAACTTCCCTGCTGACTGCAATTACCAACAAGTCTCATATTAAATATGGAAAAGGAGCAGCCTAAGTGCACGGCGTGCTCTGTTAACGAGAAAGCAGCCAGAAGCCTCCAGATGAGCCACGTCTCACCCAACCATCACCGCGAGGCGAGTTAGACGTTATTAATTGGTGTCCAGCAGTTCTTACTGCTGCAAAGACGCCCAAAATATGTTTTATTACAGTTATATTCTTTTTAGAAGTACAGGACTAACTCTGGCTACATTTAGTTCACTATTGTGTTGTTTATTCAAAAGATGTTACATCATGGCAACAGCATGATGGGAAATTGTGACAATGTAATTTATGGAAACCCTGGTAACCAAAGTTCATGTCTGTACACTTTCAGTCAAAATGTTTTTCTTTTTAACTGTATACAAATTAAAAATGCTTAATGTGAGTTCACTAATTTTACTTCAATCATAAAAGCACATATTTTTTTGCAAAAATAGTACAATACATTGAGTATTACAGTGGTAATAATGCTATGGATGAACAGCATTAACATGCAGTGACCATGTTCCCATCAACGTTTCTCATCCCTCATGTTTTAAAATGTCTCATTATATATGGTTGAGAGAAATCTCAACATTTAAAATAAATGTTTTATGTTCGTCTGAAGTGGCGTTTGGCTTTTCGAAAAGAGATGGATGTGAGATGGAAACCTGTTTGCTGAATAAGTCGTAATGTAGAAAACGTGCCCTGATGGGCCGGCGCCTTACCAGAGCCACAAAGTGCAAAACATTTGTAAACTCATACCGGCGGCTTGGAGGACGACTCTCAATTTTTCAGTGGTTCATGCTAGTTTGCGACTTCTACTTCCTGTTTATTATAGCCATACGTAACATGGACGTCTCATTAAATGACGCTTTGTGTAGCCTGGTTGATTCGCTTCATTTTCCTTTTTGTAAGATTTTACTTCACTCAAAATTTGGATCACAACTGAATGGAAACATAGCTTAGATCTGCTGTTGTTGTATCAACCTTCCAGACCTCTCAGGTCTTCTGGTTCTGGTCTGCTCTGCATCCCCAGAACCAGAACCAAGAGAGGAGAAGCAGCTTTCAGCATCTATGGACCAAAAATTTGGAACAAACTTCCAGAAAACTGTAAAAAGCGGAAACCCTGACTTCCTTCAAATCTGAAGTAAAACGCACCTGTTTAGAGTTGCATTTGAAATGTAATATCAGCTAAATTCTAGGTTGGAGTCCTTGTCAAATAATATCTTGACTAAAGTACCAAAGGTTTAAAGGCCCAGTTGATGCCTATATGTATGAATTTGATTTTGTGGATATGTATGTAATTTTTTTTTTTTTTTTTTTTTTTTTTTTTTCCTGTTGTGGGCAACGGGGCCCGGCGAATACCCGTGGTTAAACGGACGGCGGAGTCCGGCGGTAACAGGCGCTTAAATTCCATGTCAAAGGGAAGGGGGAAGAAGGGGAAAAAAGAGGGGAAAAAAAAAAAAAAAACCTTGGTATTTTATTCTATGTTGCATGCCTTTGTGTTTGTGTTTATGATGTAAAGCACTTTGAAATGCCTTGTAGCTGAAATGTGCTATACAAATAAAATTTGATTGATTGATTGATTAGTGCAGTGCTTTATATATATACATATACATATATATATATATATAATATATATATAATATATATATATATATATATATATATATATATAATTTTTTTTTTTTTAAATTACTTTCCCATAAAGTCCAGTTTTATCTCATCTAGTGTTACTTTTTATTCTTTTATTTTAAGAGTTGAGTCACTGAATTCATGGTGATGTCTTGATCTTTTCTCTTCAGCTTTACTTGTATTGTGGTAGATGTACCTGATGCCATATTTTTCTCTATGAACTGGTGATTATCTCAGACCATTTCCATCAGCAGACAGCTGGCAGCTGCTGTGAATCAGTGGGATTTTGGTTTCTGGCTGAGATCAGACGGACCCCCAGGCTCCTAACCTCTCAGGCTGGGTAAAGCGGCGCCGTCCGTCCGCCTGGCCGGCTCTGTGGGGATCAGCCGGTGCCACCGGACTGGTTCCGTGACCTCCTCCTGGTGGTGAACTCTTATTTATTTCTTCATTGATCCAAAGCTATGACACGGAGGCTTCATGGTCTGCTGCCCCTCGCTGGTTACGACTCGGCGCTGCCAACGAACAGCTGTGACACGAGCAGCAGGGAGCCTCAGAATCAGGCTGTCTTCTTTTTATTATTATTATTATCTTTCTTTGGTTTCTGGATCTTCAGATACTTTGCAGAAACAAACAAAAAAAGCCTTTTGCATAGAAAAACACTCATCTGGTCAGAGATACAAGAGGTAATGTGTCTCTTCCATGTGAAAGCAGCTTTGTGGATCACTCAGGAGCCTTTGGTACAAGAATTTCCTGTCTGCACAATGAAGCTGAGGGTTCATGTTTAGCATGCAGTGTGCTTGTTCATTCCCTCTTGATGGGTGAGGCGGTGCCACCGCCTTCTGAAAATCACTTGATTGGCAACTCTTGGTGGTGTTTGATTGAAGTTTTTTTTAGCTCCTAGTTCCTCGTTTGTCTCGCTCTCCTCTCTCTGTTCTAATTTTAAGTCAAATACTGGAGTGACTGAGCAAACAGCAGCTCCATAGAAAGAACTGATAGACAACAAAACTTTGGAAAAAAATCTAGATTTTTACCTGCATCGTCTTCCTTTGCTGATGGCTTTTCTTTCAGTTCCTGTGTGGTTTTGAGCGTCACGGTGCCTCCGTGTCACAGGAGTTGTGCAGAATGAGCTGATGATGAAAATCTCTACATGTGTACACGTTTTTTTTCTCCATTCGTTTAAGGAAACATGCAAAGTCTCTTCATGACGTGTGACGATGCAGCGGAGTCGACGCTGTCCAACAAACAATCTTGGAAAACTATAGTTTTGTCTTATTTTGTATTTTTAAAATTCCAAAATCTGGTTCCAGACAAAAATAAAAATAAAATAAAAAATTGTACAACATTTATAATAATGCTATTTCTATGGCTTTGAGTCCAGAGATTATGTTCAGTATGTTCTTGTCTACATATCAAAATTAAATACATTTTAAATATAGCATAGCCATATATAATAGCAGCAGTCAGAATCATTGTAGCCATTCTTCTTTCAACAAAAACTTTTAGATTTTGGATTTAAAAGCTTTTGTTTTAAATTTGCACCATAATTCTATGAAACCTGAATCATTTTTACTTAATATAGTTAATCTGTAAGACTTCAGTTCCTGAAACTGATTCACCAGAGAATAATAATAATGTTTTTCATGTCATAATGAAAAACCGTTGCTATCTTCCGTCTGTAATACTGTCAACCAACAGCATGTACTTAAAATTGTTTGACTTTTTAATGAATTTAAATTAGATAAATGGATATGCGCTTATAAGTAGTTTATTTTATGTAGGATTCCAACATGCTTAGGTTTTCAGAATTCCTTCTAATGTCATGGTGCACAAATAAAGTACGACAAAAAACACAAAGAAATAGTTTCTTTGTGTTTTTTTTGTGTTATGTTTTATGGAAATCGGCCCGATCGGCTCAAATATCTGGTGGGGAAATCTCTGCTCTCCTCCTGCATCACAGAGCGACAGCAAGGCCTCTGACTATAGCTGACATGCTTCTTCCTGTCATTAGGTTGGGACATGTAGGAACGTCTTCTTTCAGAAACAGACCTGGAGTACAGATTCATTCACACACAGATGTTCCCACTGAGTTCATGTCCATCGAATCTTCTTTCATTAACAAGTTTCTGATGGAAGTTGTGATGGTAGCTCTGTATCTTGTGCTCAAAAATGATCTTCCAACGAAATATAATATTTTTGTTTCAGTTGGAGAGCTTAGTCAAGGGTTAGCAACCCGACATTCTGAACTGCTTGTCTGCGTTTGTTTCTCTTTCATAAAAATCCTTTAATGGTTGCACAGATTTTACACAGGTCTGCAGAGATCAAAGGAGAAATATTAACAATTTCTTCTTCATCTTTCTTGAAGCAGAGCAACATAAAAGTAAAATCCTACCTTGATCATATTTTTGTAGCGCTGAGCAGCAAAACAAGCCGCCGGTTTGTCAGAATCTGCTCATGTAGCAAAGATTTGCCCTCTTAAACACCTGAAAACCCCCCAAAAAACTACTTTACAGTCATTGCTCCTCAAATTCCCAAATACAGTTACAAATATGAGCATTTTTCACTTTTTATGTGTTGGTAATATGGGAATAAAACGAAAAATAATGTATTTTAGAGTTGAATAAACCATGTTACAATCCTAAAAACATTACACACACATGCACACGCACACACACACACACGCTCACACACACATACACACACACACACACACACACATGAATGACAAGATATTTATTGCCATTTCTGAAGAAAAAAATCCTTTTCTTTTTTCCTCAATAGAGTTAAAATACCCCTCAGTTGTATTGTATTATGGATTTTTATACACACATTGTTAAGAACCATCGCTGGTCAGATCAAACTTTTTATTTCCAGTCTGAACTTCGAAGCAGGATTTTCGAACTTGCCTTGACAGTTTTCTTCTCTTGTTCGTTCATTTATTCCCAGTTCACTTTTTATCAGTGGAGCAAGCTTTATAATTGTCGGTGCATCAACACTGTGAAAAGCCTCAGAAATGAGAGCCTGTCATGTCTTTCCCATTTTGAGAAGTGGAACAGAGAAACGGGACGATGACTCATCATTTTTATTCCCCAGGCAACCACATTCTGATGAACTTAAAATGCAGAAATATTAATAAATAAAAATAATCAGTTGTGTTTTTCATTATAGAGGGGATTTTAGAGGTATTTTGTAAAATTGAGAAAAAAAATTATTGAACAAATATGGATTGGATTTCATTCAAAGAATTGTGATAGAAAAACAAGATTAATAAAGGTTTTATATGTATCTTTACATTTATCATGGAGTGTCCTGTTGCTCTCAGCACAAAAATGATTCTAAAATTAAAGGGAAAGTTTTTACACAACCAAAGTTTAATACGAATGTAAGAAGGTACAGTAATAAATGTTCTCGACATAAATAGGGTAAAATACATGACCAAAGTCATTTTGGTTTTCAGAACCGTCCTCCAGTTAAACATGATTCTGTTTCATAGGACGAGAAAAGAGATGGAAGGTCAGAGCAAAAAGTAAGAGGAAGATAAAAAGGATAAGCTACGAATAACTAAGGTCCAGTCGTCTGTGTCCAGGTTTTCTTCCCCCATGTAAGAGTTTTATCTCTTCGGCAGCGACTTGGTGTTGATCTCTCTGCGGCCCGGTAACTTCTACACATGTACCCGTCACGCAGGATGACTCCGACCCGCCGAGAGCCTCCAAACAAACTCGCAGTCATATTTTGGACGGCAGAGACATCTTTTTCTCGCTCTTTTCCGTCCCTCGTCTCTGCCTCCGATCGGCTGCCCTCCATTTCATTTTGATGGCCGGTGCTGCAGTGTGTGCAGAGCTCTGGGGCTCCAGTACTTTCATGATGTGAGCCAAAACTCATCTGGGATGCAATATCCTGTTTACCAGCTCTCAGCAGTCCCCAGAACCACAAAAAAAAAAAAAAAACCTGAGCTGACTCAGAAGTTCAGAACTCATTATAGCTTTCTCAGGTCACAGTCAAGGTCGAACATTTCTCCTCCTCCAAAACGTTTTTAGAAAACAGACTACCATCGAGACAACGGCTGAGACAGACGGGGTTTGAACAGGAAACCTCTGCAGCCAGACCGAAAAGTAAAATAAAATAGTTTGTTGATTTTTGTACTGAAAATGTTAGGGGGAAAAAGACTTTCAGCCCTTTACATGTATTGTTGCTTCTATTACTTTGCTTTATTATTTCAAAGTGTTTCTGAGAACATTTTAAGAGGAACTAAGCCCCAGATAACTTATGTTTGCTGAAGAAATGTCTAAATAGGTTATCAGTGACAGTAATCAGTAAATCTTGCTGTGTTGATCCAATTTGAGGTATTTGTCTGTTGCAAGATGCAAACTTCCCATCAGTCTCAGAGCGTTAAACTTTCACACAACATCGTTCAGGATTTGCTGCAGCGTGAAGAAAAAGCAGGTTGTGAAGTTTGGGGTGATTGGTTTTTGTGTTCGGCAAACAATCATCATGCACTTTTTCACAGAAATGGCCGATCGGTGGACATCGTAACACCACCAGCAGCGGTGTTACGATGTCCATAATGTTCACATGGACATTAAAGTCCATGTGAACAAAGGGACATGCTTATTTTCAAGCAGGTTTCAGAACCAGGTTATTGTGAACTTTGCCCAACTTGGTAGTTCTGCAATATCTTGCTGTTCAAATTGGAGCGCCATGAGGTTGCTGGTTCAGGTCCTGACATGAGCATGTGACCATGTGAACAAGTTCTTGACCGTCACATTGTCCTGATTTTACTTCTTCTCCCTCATGCTGTAGTACCTGGCCCATGTACCGCATGTCTGTGGTTTCTTTTTACGAGTTTAAGCTTTTTTAACTGTAAAAGGTGGAGCTGGACAAAAAAATTGGGCGTCATGTCATTGAGCCAGTACTTGGTGTGCGAAGGAGGTCATGCAAACATATGAATCAAATGTTCTGGAACAGAGACCCATGTAAAATAAGTAGGGCAGTAGTACCTGATTACCAGAACTCAGACACACCGTTGTTGAGAAATAATAAAATGAAACCAAATCCTGCTAAGAAAAGAAACTAAACTCCCCAGTCCCGAGTTACAACCCAGTTTTGTCACGCCGTACCTTGGATATATATATATGTCCCTCAATCACAGGAGTTTCAGGACAGAGAAGCAGAGTTTCATCCTGAGCTGCACGGCAACTTACAGACGCCAACATGAAAACTCTCGCAACTTTTTTGGTTTTGCTGAATTATTTTACCAGATGCCACGGTGAGTTCTCTTTATATTCTCAATTCATAGGGCCAATTCATAAGTGTCATTACCAGATACTTTACAAATGCATTTCAATTTACAATTGTAAGATGAAATAGTGTTCTGTGGGTTTTCGTTACATTTATTTTGTGCGGTTCTTCTCTATAGGTTGGATCTGCACTACTGCTCCTTCGCACCAGGCTGCATCCCAGGTTGATGCTGGCAACGGAATGGTTGTGATGACTGATAAAAACTCCAACTCCTTCTTCTTGAGTGATTCAAGTTGGTCCAAACTGGGCTCAGTTCCTCTCAAGCACGTCTCGGTGGGGTCTGCAGGTGTCTGGGGAGTCGACCGCGACAACAAAGTCTATAAATTTTCAGCTGGCGATTTCTTTCCTACTCATGGTGAGTGTTATGTTTCAGAGCCAGGTTTTACAGGTTGGCCCTGATTCAAAGGGTTTCATTGTCTGGTGTTGCTGTTTGTCTCTTCAGGTCAAGTGTTGATCCAGGTGGATGCTGGAGACGGTAAAGTAGTGGGAGTCACCAGCCAAAACACCATCCATTGCCTGGACGCCAACAGTGCCGCTGCCATTGAGGAGGAGGGTAACTTGAACTGGAGAACCATTCCTGGGTTATTGATGTATTTCAGCTGTGGTCCAGTTGGATGCTGGGGAGTGAATTCGGGTCAAGACATCTTCTTCACGGTAAACTTTTGTCTTACATCTCTTGTTGGAACTCCTGATTCCCCACTCACCGTCTTTACTCTTTACTTTTATAGAAAGCCTCACCAGATTCCTGCAGCTTAGGTGGCTGGAATAGAATCGATGGAGCTGCTGTGAAAGTCGAAGTTGGGAGTGATGGAAGGGTCTTTGTTGTGAATCAATCTGGAAATGTCTATGAAAGGTAACCTCTAAATAAATTTGAGTTGCCAGGGCACACAGATGTAAGAGACTTGAACAGATCCAAATAAGCATCTTTCTCTTTCCAGAACCGGTATCTCTGAAGCAGCTCCACAGGGCACAGGTTGGACCCAAATCTCTTTCTGTGTGTCCATCAAACACGTGACCTATGACCTGGGACGTCTGTGGCTTCTGACTGATGCTGGTGTCATCCTGAACTGTATCTAGTGTCCACTTCACACATTCTGTTCCTTCTGATAACTTCTTTGGGTTAATCCCATGTGAGCTTTATCAGTAGAGGATCTCGAACAGTCTTCAGATTAATCATGATAGGGGATAAAAATCAAGGTGGGGATAGAAGTTATGAAATGATTATGCTTGAAATGAATCCAACAATGCAGGAAATAAAAGGAAAGTTTCAAGCACTACTTTTTCAAATGACATACATTTCAAAAAGTATGAATTTGGTGTTCAATCTTTCAGCTTTTACAAATAAAACATTAAAATGTGATTTTAAGGAAACAATAAACTCTTCCATTGATCAGCAGAACGTGTTTGATTGCAGTTATTGTGTCAGACTGGTTTGTTTAGCTCAAGCTCTCTCAAAGTCTGTTACTTCCAGTCCTAAAAGGAAGAGCAGGTAGAAAGCACATCAGAATAACAAAGCTTGTACATGAACAATAGATCTCACTGTAACTTATACCACAGCTATCTTTGTATCTCATGTATTTTCTTTTTCTTCGATTACTTACAGTGAATAGAGTGTCTTAACATTTCCCTAATGGAAGAGTAAACATATAGTCTAGTTAAACTACTAAAGTACATTTCAAAAACTCACTGAAGTAAATGTAACTGAGTGACTAGTTTACGGTTACCTGTGTATCTGGGTCAGTTCCCTTTGTAAAGTCAGACCTTTTGGACGTTTCAGCGTCGATCAAGAACAGCAAGTCTTATTCTAACAAACTTGGTTTCTGTCAGACTAAGAACCAAAGCCAGTTTTGTAGTGGCTCCCCAACTGCTAACACCACGTAGCATTGATTTTAAGGAAGCAGCAGGACTGAAAAATAACTAAACTTGTAACACATTTAAAGAAAATGTCAGCTAATAGTTGGTCTTTTTTCTTAATCCCAATTTTTTTACTGCAAAATCAGAGCATGCATTTCAGTCCTCAGCCCTTCCTGCTACATCTCAATTATGAATTATTACATTTTGCATTGGTTACGTTCGTGAAAATGTAAGTTTTACGCTCGGCAACATTTGTTGACGGTGGGAAACTGAAAAGTCTAACATATACAGACACAAAACGATGAGAAAAATCATGACATGCATAACCTATCATAACAAGGCATGGTTACAAGAGTGTTTGTTAGATACATAAAGATTCAATACCACATCATTCAATGCACCAAGTGACCTTTGACCTCATTTAGTCATTTCATCAATGAGGCAAAGTCATGAATCTGAAGTTAGAAAGAACTATTGTTGCTGGTGGGATTAAATTATAGAAAATTCAACCAAACTGATATTCGGTTCTCAAGTGTCATCAGTCATGACCGCCGCTGACCTTCGGTGCCCTGAAGGTCACAAGCACGCGTATGTCGTCCAATTCCAAACTGTTGTTTTTGTAAAATAGAAATGAAAAAAAATCCTCAATTTTCTGAAACAAATTCTGCAGTTGGGGTAAATGGTTCCGATGGAGCCCGATAGGTCCGCTCCGAAGCAGTCACTACATAGAAAATGATAACTGTACAAAGTTGAGCCACATCTGAACGATCGGTGTCTGCATGGACAGAAGCTCTGATTGCTATTTGTTGACTTAAGCAGCATCTGTTGAAAAAAGCGCGCTCAGAATTATTTACAGAATATATACTCAACAAATCAACAAATCTTCGCTGCAGGAGCTCTCTCCTGCCAGCAACCGTCACCACAATCTGAATTAATGATCTACAACTAAAACATTTTATTTCCCTTTGGGTTTGATAAAGTATTTTTGAATTTGAATTGAATCTGGAATGCTGGGTGTCCAGTGTAAACGGGCTGAGAACTTAGAAAATTGGGAGCCTTAAAAAAAAAAACAACAAAAAAAACTATCTAGAATTGGATCCTGAAAAAGGTGTAGGAAAAAACAAACGAGGTCTTTTATGTGCAAAGTCTTCTCTCCTATGGACTCTTTTTATTGAGCTGTGTGCCTCGTTTGGCTCACTTTGCATCCCGGGGCCATTTAACCCGGGAACTGTAACCTAAAGACCTGATAGTGGCAGGCTGTGGCTTTCAATCTGACCGCGGGCCCCCACTTATCTGTCAAATAAGCTGTTTTAATTGCATACACACAGAGCCCTATCGGGCCATGTAGCGCGCTCAGAGATAAGGGTTACACAGAGTCAGGCATCAGTAACAGGATAAGAGGACCGCAGAAAAACAGAACTGCCGGGTCCCAGGAGGACGTCAGGTCAGGAAATATCTATAGCCGCCCTATTAATTTCAAACTCACAAAGCCAGTTCTCTGTTACTGTGGGGCTGGAGAGATGGCTGCTGTTAACTGGAATCAAAGCATTTTCAAACTGCAGAGACGCCGTGCTGACATTATCTGTGACCAGCCTGGGAGGTAGAACTATGTAAAACAACCTTGACAATAACAGCGTTTTTATGCACATGTACAGATAAGAAGGGAGGGAAAAAAGGACGTGGGGATGTTTGCTGTTATTCAGAATTTAAAGTAGTGAAGTGGTCAGGACCTTGTCATGCTGAAATCAGAGCAAACATTAACAACACACCAAGGACAGGACGCTCTGGGAATGGCAATGCTTCAGAGCCAAATTAGACCAAAATTCACAATGTTCACCGTTTGTCTTACATTTTTACACATTTTCTAAATGGTCTGGATAAAATATTAAACATGATTTTGTTTTGTTTTTTCGTTCTGGATAAGAAGGAAACGAGAAACAAAAGCGCAGAACAATCCTCTCTCGGTTTTATCAACACGTTTTCATCGATACATCCATCCGTCCATCCATCCATCAGGGATGGAAGCAACTTTCCATCCGTCATCCACCTACCTTTGCATCCATCCATTCATCATCCACCCAGTCTGCAGTTCTTACAGGCTCCTTATCTGAACCTGTTAGTAGAAATATTTGCCATGAATCCGTCCTGATGTGGATACTTTCAAACTGAAACCAGGAGAACCTTTTTAAAAGATGTTTTCAGCAAACATCCCAGGCTCCCGCAGCCTCCCACTCATGGAGGATTTGGACTGCTGATGTTAACACCGTGTATTGTTTTGACCCGTTTGGCCCGCATGAAGAGCTAGTCAACACTGTAGCTGGGTAAATGTCAGCAACACTAGGCTTTAATGAGACCAGAGACTAAGGAAGGGGCTGACACCATCATAGGCTCAGTGCTGAGAGCCTCATTTACATTAGAGCAGGCGACAGCCGGAGAGAGGCGAGCGGGAGACAGTCAGCGAGACCAGGCAGCAGGAAATAAAACATGTTGCTTTTAGGATGGCAATATTTTCTCAGAAGCACAAATAAGGTTGTGTTTACTGAAAGCCTTAAAGCACAGAACGCTGCTTTGATTTTCTTTTCTTTTTTTTCCCCAGATGCTGAATAAATTCTGCATCAAAAGAGCAGTTTTGTAGCAAGTTGCTAATAATTGCAGGTATTGGAAGATATACAGCAGACACCAATATGGGGGCCAGCCTCAGAAGGGCACTGTTGCCATAGTTACTAAATTTGACCACATTAAAAGTATGTCTGAAAGCACCGAGAGGAAAGAAAACGCTGGTTATAAACCTCCAAACTGAACGAGTTCACTCACCACTGAGGTGCTGTCGACAAATAATTACTGGCAAACTTCATATTTTCTTAATTGGTGTCAATCAGTTAAATTTAGCTGCAGTATTTCATCTTCAGGTCATGGATCTGAGTTGCATCTAAGATTATAGCTAATAGCTAAATTTGCCAGATTTTACTAGAAGTAACAATACATGTAAAGGGCTGAAAGTCTTTTCCCCCCTAACATTTTCAGCAACCATTCAGTGTGATAGTGTTCCATCATAGCATATGTTCAATTCACTTCAAAAATACTTTATTTGTCCCAGAGGGAAACTGAACGTTGTTGTCACTCATATCTTCAAAGAATCGCAGAAAGCAAGAATCATTAAGCATCATTCGGAGAATCAAAGACTGAACTGACCAGAGAGATTGGAGACAAACACCAGGACCTGTGTCCTGTAAGGTTTTGTTTTCAGATTTAGACAATTATAACAAATTTAAACAAATTAGATGTTTCGTGACGAAAACAAAGATCAAAAAAGGTTCTCGAAGGTTTCTAAAGACTTACATTTAACTTTGTTTCCACCCCTAGTTGTGGTTCTTTCAAACTGAAAAAGCCTTGTTAAGATCTGCAACCAGCATCTTTTAAAGGTTAGCAAAAGTAAGAGAATACAGCGCAAAGCTAGTTTTAAATATTTCATTCAAGGTCTGACCATCAAAAAAACGATATTTCCAGATGTGATATTGCCATGCTAATATTGGTCGTCCACAGTTGAACATTATTTTCCCTTCTGCTCTTCCAGACTCTTAGTTTATGTACGCTTTTGAATTTGAAGAAAGTAAAACATTTCCTTTAAATTATCTCTCATTGTTTTTGCATTTATCAAACAGAAATCATTGTTGGTAATCAGAACTGGCCTAAAACATAAACATTTTAGTCACTGTTGGACAATGAGAACAAAGTCCATCTGGACCCAACAATGAGGTAACTGCACTGGTCAATACTTCTACATGAAGCAGGATTTTCCTTCCTTGCTTTCTTTTGTGTGTCCCACAATGGTAACATTTCTCTTTAATTTCCTTTTCTCCTATTACATTAAAAGTATTCTGCGGCATGCTTAAATCTACTAAATCTGCTGCAAAGCCGCGGCGTAAAATTAAATGCCACATGCTAGAACGTCTCCTCTGTCTGCGATCCGGCTTTCTTACATCAGCCGCCTTTCTTTTAATCTGAAAGGAATAAACTGAATTTGTGATGAAGAATAGGCGGCAGCGGAGGCGGCGATGAATAAACGCTACATCACGTCCCTGCCTCCGTAGATCCCTATCCGCTCTGGCTGAACGTCAGGCTGCTACACACTGGTGGGAGAGAGAGAGAAAGAAAGAGAAAATCAGAGAGAACTGGAGTCACACCAGCTTCCAAGTATGCTGTCATGCCAAAAATGAGTAACGGCAAGCCTCCAGATTACAGAGTCCACAGAGCTCTGGTCTCTGGATCTGTTGATGTTGCAGGTGCCTCCTGAGACTTGGACTCAGTACGGAGAAGATTCTGACAAGAATGTTTTTCAGATTTTTGACTCTGTGATTTTGTGTAGCGTAGAAATGAAAGTCTTAAGTGAAATCCCTTTTGAAGCCCTTCGACACACAATCAAGCAAATGAGGACGTTAAAAGAGTTTTTAAACACAGGCACAAACTCAGCACATCCTTTGAACTGTTAGGAATGTTTAGTTTCTACACTATAGTTTCTTTGCTTTTATTAGTTATATTGCCATC